TCTCCCATAAGTCCAACATTCAAAAAATTCATGAAATAAAAATAACATTTTACAAAATGGCAACACTTCCCTCTCCTCCAACCCTTAAACCTTAGTAGCAAGACAGTAGTGAGCGAGATGTAGGGAGGAAAAGACAAGACAGAATGACAGATGAAATGCAAGAATGGGCAGAGAGACAGTTGGAGACCCGAGCAAAAGTCATCACACGAGTGTGAACTCACAAGGAAGAAGTAGCAACTTGGAAGTAGACTGGACAAAAGACCCTAAAATGGATTTAAACAAAACTTGTTTTCCTTACAGCATGACAGATATTTCTACTTGCAGGTACACAAATTTTGGCATGTTAAAACAATTTATCAACAATTACAACTGACCATCAGATACTCTGGTTATGGAACACATCAAAACAATCTATACATGATATGCTCAACTTACCGATTTCGTTTTGGAACAGACTTTCTGGGGTACTTTGGGTTTCTCGGAGGGCGGAATGTCTTAGGACGGCGGAAGTGAACCGAAGTCCTCACCTTCCTAATACGTGTTCCATGTAAACCCTTGATAACCTATGGAATGGGATCAATACATGTATTCAGTACATTCCAGTAGTAATTAAAAAAAACTATCTCTGTACATAACACAAAACTGTCAGAAATGTGTTTAATCTGTTTTCATCAATGTTTCAAAGAGATTCCCACACATTTATTCATCATTCATTAAATTCTAAAAGCTATTAAACTGTAAAAAATATATATATGAACTTGCCTTCTTCTGTGCCTTGAGTGCCTTTTGCAGCGCTGGTTTAATAACCTTTCCACCCTTCTGTGACTTTGGAGCAACATCCCTCTTTGGTTTCTCAACCTTCTTTGCTGTTCCTTTGACTGGGACCTTTCCTGTAGGCTTTCCACTAGGTTTGGCTGCAGGTTTACTTCCAGCCTTTGCAAGAGCTTTAGGTGTAGGCTTCCCTGCAGACTTTACAGAAGGCTTTGCTGCTGACTTGGCAGCAGGCTTGGGAGCAGCGGGTTTGGCTGCAGCAGGTTTGGCTGCAGCGGGTTTGGCTGCAGCGGGTTTAGCTGCAGCAGGTTTGGCTGCAGTGGGTTTGGCTGCAGCGGGTTTAGCTGCAGGTGATTTGGCTGCAGCAGGCTTGCCTGCAGTGGGTTTGGCTGCAGGAGATTTGGCTGCAGCTGGTTTATCTGTAGTGGGTTTGGCTCCAGTAGGTTTAGCTGCTGCAGATTTGGCAGCTGCTGCTTTTGGTGCTGCTGCTGGCTTTTCTGCAGCAGGCTTTGCTGCCTTGGCAGTGGAAGTTGATGCTGATGGACCTGCTGGTGCTGTAGCTGGTCTCTTCTCTGCCTTTTTCTCTGGCTTCTTCTCTGCCTTTTTCTCTGCAGGCTTACCTGCCAGAAACAAATTTTTAATGGGTACCAATTCAAAGTTATATGTACCAGAATTCTAAGGTTGCCAAGTTACATGTTCTTCATAGAGGAATAAGTGGCAGAATCAAATGTAGAAGACTGAGAAATTCTATGGAATTCTCCAACTGGATATACTCTTTTGTTATCATGTTAATCATACAGGACATATCTGTAAGGTCTGTACATACTTCGGACACAAGTTCTACACAGCAAAACGTTACATAAAGAACATAGGTCTACAAGATCTTCCTTTTCAAATTACAGTCCTAAAAAGGATTCCAAAAGCTCTCGGGCCTCTGATGTATAAACAAGTGGTGTTAAAAATGTACTCCATGAGACTCATTACATGCGTTCACACATTGGATCACAGACTGTTGAACATGTTCAGAGATACCAGTGGTATTGCACATAGTGTGACAGCCATTCACAATGTGCTGCTGAAGTGTTTATATCATTAACAGGAGTGTAAACAAGGGCTTTTAAGTGTCCCCACATGTACAAATCCACAGGATTTGACTTAAGTAAGCATGAGGGCCATGCAATGGGTTCTTCTCAACCTAACCATCAGTTACACCAGGTGTTGTGAGGCATCGCAAAGCTAAAATATGGTGGCATACCATCATGCATGTGCATCCTCTGACATCCAACGGTACATCACCTAATAGACTGGGCAACTATTCTCTCAGAAATCTCAGTATTAAATGCCTCCAAGCCTGCAGGCAAAACATATGGGAATACCAAATAATCACCAACAAAACCTTTATGCTGTACTATATTATTTTTCAGTGGAATTGGCGGCTCAGTCGAGTTCTGCTCTTTGTGAGTGCCCAATCTGGGCAAAGAAGGTCTGTTGGTAAGCAGCTAGACCTCAGTCTGTTCAGAAACCGCAAGATGGAAGCATCAGCTGCCACACTGCGTTGTTGCCAGTTCTCACGTCTTCTTTGCACAGTGTTGTAAACATTCACTGGAAACCAATGTTCGATGATGCTACATCTGGCACCACTGTATGTTGTTTCCTCACTTTCTCGACAATCCACCTCCCACCATTACTTCCTGCCATGGCACAGTACATGTCATTGGTGCATGCTTCAGCCGCCAATTTGGCTGAAAACTGTTATAGTGTTAGTGTACAGACTACATCATGAGATAGAATTTCACACTATCAACACAGAACCACTAGACTGACACAGTCACACTGCGCTCACAAGACAAGTTCTACTGTTTAAACAGGCCTAGAACCAGTGACACTGATAACAGCATGACTGTAGGTAAAATATCGGGAATATCAGTCAAAATGGTCATTACTGTATGCAAGAGTTAAGAAAATACTTGCGATGTAGGCAGCCCAGTCAGCGAGTGATACCGTGTGCATGCATAATGCCCCTATTCATGAGTGGAGAACACTGGTCCTTAGTAAAAAGATATTTCTTGCAGTCTTTATAGATTTCCACCGTTTATAGTATCATTATTTATTTATTTTTCTTACTGAGTATTTCATAACTTACAGTGTTACAAAGTATTACCAGTAAAGTTCACATCAAAGTAAAACAAGCACAATGTTTTTCAGTCTGCTAGTAGTGTAGCATGACTTCCCAAGTCACATGTCACAGAGACTTAACTCCCACATACATTACACACAGTATTTTGCTGCAACAGAATCATGTGAACTTCATGAAATATCTCGCTATGTATAACTTATCCCCAAAGTACGTACAGACCTTACAACCTAAATATGCAAAAGTCAGCTTTCATTCTTGGAAATGAGTAATAAAACTGATGAAAAAATAATTATTGGAACTGGAATTTTTTTTTACAATCTTCATATGATCATGAATATGAAGATACACAGGAAGACATTCTCAATCGCAGGAACACAAAACCTACCTTCCAACAAAATTGATCAATGTGCTACACAAAATTGCTTTATAAGGCATCCTGAAATGAGTTTATCTGCTTCACTAAACTGAAACATTAATACCAGCCATGTGGCTTCTCCGAGGCAGGATGAAAGACCTCGTGGCCATAGCCACACCGACACTTAAAACTTCCATTTTGTTTCAACTTACTTGTACATTTCCAAGTATAATAACTCAGGTCTCAAATTAAAACTAAACGCTATCAAATTATTAACTGGTGTGGAAAATAATGTGCTTTCGCTATTACAAACCTGCTTTATCAGTTGGCTTAGGTTTCGGAGCCATCTTGACGACTTGAACAGTAACAAATGAGAGACTCCCTCTGCCCGAGCTGGGTATTATGGAAGTAACTATTTATTTGATGTTAACGAAACTGTAACAGTAATAATTACTTTAATAATAAAAGCATCGATTTCAAATTTCATAACTAACAATTCTTCACTTTATTATAAATTATATTTACTCCGACAAGCCACAAATCCAAAGAAGAATGTATGTTCATGGTATGTTGAACATTTATCTCTGGAAATTATACATTTCACAGACAAAGGCTTTCAGTCATTATGGGCCTTGGAAATTTACCTCTGGATATGAAAAGTAAACAACAGTTTATTTGAAGATAAGTATAATTCTTATTGGTTTTGAATTATACCGTAAAAATTTGACAAATTTTCATGGTAAATGTAACAAAAGGTATGCAGTAAGTAAAATAAAATTATATATATTTTTATTTATATTTAATCTTTGTTGAAGTCTGATAATTGTTTATGTAAAGATCTGCTGGTAGTATGCATGATGCTGTATACAGTACTAATTATTTGTGTTATTAATTAATAATTTTAAACGTTGGATAGTACAATTGTAATAATCATACAGATTTTATATAGCTTTACACATTTGTTTTATTCAACTACTTTTCAATGTAAAAGTGGCAATTTTTATTTAAAAATTCAAAATATTTCACTTTCCTAATAACCAACAGTTTAAATATGTATATACTTTTTATGTTTCATACAGATGAAGACTGTCAAATAACAAACTTAGAATTATGTACTATTATTATTGTTTGCTGAATATTTTGATATTAAAGTTGCTCTTTCATATAGATCAATGCTAGAATCTCGCTCAGCAGTCTACAAGATGTTGAAGGATAAAGCTCATAAGGACAGGCAAATAAACACATTCCCACGACCCTACCGATATGATGCAACACCATATAAGCAGTTGGATTTCAGTCAAATAGTGAAGGAAGCATGTTCCTCAAGTCGTCCAGTCATGGCTGGATTGAAGATATCCAAAGCAATATTTTTGGGTGATGTTGCAGTTGGTAAAACGTGTTTAGTCAATAGGTGACTTTAATTTTAAATTCAAAAATATATAACCAGATAATGACAGCATCTAAGCCTCCTACCAATAACTGACAGGTTAAATTATGTTGCTGTTCTGGGACTCAAGCAAGAAGGCATGTGGGTATTAGTTGTACTATAGCAAGGACTATTATGTTCGATCAGATCCAGTTTTCACATCATAGCTGTGGGCGATGATGTTATACATCATATTGGTTATTACTGGTAGTTGAAAAGTATTAAGTATAAAACTGAGGCTAGTGTAATGATTAACTAAAAGTTGATAGATTAAAAAGTGATAAGACACATCTTTTTTGACATAAAATTGAATAGAACAGAATAGTATTAAATTTATTTGCATTCCGTAGATCCTTCATAGTTCCAAGGTAGAACATGTCACAGCACAAATACAATACTTGTTTCTAATACAAATATAAATTACATAGTTATGACAGTAATTTACAGTTGGTTATGGTATTACTGCAAAAATACACAAGAAAGCATACCCAGTATTGCATACATGTATTTATAAGTAGCTGAGTATTTTTGGTTGAGGTAAATTCTTCTGTGGAGTAGAAGGAGTGAGATAGGAGAGATTCTTTTAGTGCTGGCTTAAACTTCTTTATATTGTGATTCAGACTTTTTGTTGGGGGATGATATCAAATAGCTTGATTCCAGTATAGTAAACTCCTTCCTTTACAAAGTTTAGTGTGTGGCTCATGAATTTTGTATCTGTATCTTGTATATTGAGGATACCTGAGTTTGAAATTTTTTTATGTTGTCCACCAAAAATTATGTTAATGAGAGCAAGAATTTGCCAGATAGTTAAAGAATACAAAATGTCTTAAACAGTTCCCTACATGAGGCTTTTAGATGTAAAATACTTTTTTGCTTGCTGTTGAGTTTCCCCAGAAAATAATCCATGTATCATGATTGAAAGTAAGTAAACAAAGTAGACTAATTTTAAAGTTCCTGTTTTTATGAGTGATGTGACAGTCCTCAGCAAAGCCTGCTTAGCTTAGTTTAGGATAATGTAATACATATGTATTTCAAATTTAGGTTATTGCTAATTTGTAGGCCAAAAAATTTAGTTCTACCTACTACTTCAATTGTTTTATCCTCATACTCTGTGCCTAGCGTAACACAGTTTTTGTTGGTAGTACAAATTTTCATGAAGTTTGTTTTGTCAAAATTTAATGTGAGTTTATTAGCTTTAATCCATTTGTTGAATCCAGCAAGGACATCATTCATGCAAATTTGGAAACATTTTATTGCATTATGTCTTTATAACCTTCTGTTCTGAGGTGGCACATATGAAGTTTAAACTGGATAATTTTTCACCAAGGAAAACTGTTTTTCTATTACAGATTCTGCCACCAGGTATTTGACAGTAATTACAAAGCAACAATTGGAGTGGATTTTGAAGTGGAGAGGTTTGATATTCTTCAGGTGCCTTTTAACTTGCAAATGTTAGTTTTCTGTGTATCTTCATTTTACTGATGTAATTGTTAGTTTGCTGTTTCTTGATGAAGTATGTTTCACTTTTAATATCTGAATTCTAATCTTGAAATTATATCTATGTAAGAATTGTTCAATTTAATTTCATATTCTGATATTGACTGCATTTCAGTTTATAATTATATATCTTCGGAATCCTTAACTTAGTATGAAAGGGCAACCTATCTGCAGTAACATTTGGAAATAACTTATTAATTATACTTTCCTTCAGACCTTTCTATCTTTTTTGAGTGGCCAGCCACATTTCTAACATAAAAATTATAAATTAATATAATCTTTCTTTGTGCTACATGAACTTCATAGACCAGAAAGATATCAAATCATCACCCTCTCAGAAAAGTTTGTATATTCAAGACAGCTAGTGGGAGTTAAATTATTTTCCAATGCATCAATTAGAATTTTAACTACTAGGTAGCATGGATATCTGATTTTATCATTTTGAGGAGTTATGAGGTTATAATGTGAGGGCAACAAACTATAATCTCAAACATTACTAATTTTTAACACATGAAAAATGTTAGATATTAAGTCTGTGGATATATCTACTATAAAAATTTCTGATTTGTCGTCGTCAAAAAATAACGTCATCAAACAATGTCACGTTATATTTGTTTACTCGGCATTGTTGTACCAACACAACAATGCCGAGTAAACAAATGACTTGAGTAAGACACTAAACCCCC